AAAAAAAAAAAAAAAAAAAAAAAAAAAAAAAAAAAAAAAAAAAAAAATTAAAAAATAATAATAATAATGATAGCAATAATAATGAGTAAATAAATAAAATAAATAAAAAAAAAAACAAAAACAAAACAACAAAAAAATTAAAAAAAAAAAATATAAAACATAAAAAGGAATAAATTTAAATATAGCTGAAAAAAAAAAAGAAATGAAAAATACAATAAAATAAAAAAAAAATTTTAAAAAATTCAATATTTAAAATATTCAAAATCTTTGGATCAACCAAATCTATAAGCAAACTGTTAAATCTCTTGCCTATCCATCAAGTGTAGTCTATCACATAGCCCTTAATTATTTTACTAATATTGCGTAAAAGCCTGACAAAAAAAAAAAAAAATATTTAAAAATTTATACAAAAATGTTGAAAAATCCCTAACTAAAAATTTTTTAAATTCACTTCAAACTAGCTATTTTATCCATCATTGCTATTATATTATATCAAATTAAAAATCCATATAAAATAAAAATGTAGAAACTTCCCTAACTAACAATATTTGAAATTCCGTTCAAACTAGCTATTTTATTCATCATTTCTATTTTATAAATATGTTCAGTATATATAAGCAATATATTGGCTACCATTTGCTGTACCTTCATTCAAAGCTGCCTGCTATGTCACTCAACTGCTGTGCACGCACAACGCAGCTGGCTGCTATGCAACTTGCCAGAGTCGAGCCAAACTGCACTGCGCTCCCTCCACACAAACCACAAGCACATCCTCAAATCGCACAGCTGCCTGCTATGAAACTGGCGCAGGCCAAAGCAATCAGCTTTTGTCCAGCGCGCTTGCTGCGGCCAATCAAATATCAAGTATACGCCCCATAAGGCTGCGCTATCTGTGCGATCTGTATGCAAATGCCCAGAACTGTTGACACAAAGTACCGTTATCGCACGAATACGAATGTATGCATGTGTATGTGTATGTGTATGTGTATGTGTATATGCAAATATGTGACCTGGCTTTCTTTGTGGCTCGGCGAGCTCATTAAATTCGGTCAAAGCGCGCGCGCGCTCGCGCCTAATCAATATGCAAATCTTCGACCCGGGTCAATGGACGACGATCAACGGCATTAATTATGAACAACAAACGAGAATTAAGAAACACAAAAAAAAAAAAAAATAATAATAAATAAATTAGTTAATAGAAAAAGCCAGACTACATTTAAAATATTTGATTTCTAGTCAGAGTTCACTTCAGAGTTCACAGCGATTAGCATAAAATTTGGATTGTTTTTTGTTGTTGTTCTACTACTACTCTCTCTCTCTCTCGCACACACACACACAACAGAACAAGAAAAAAAATATAAAAAAAATTTATTATTTTTTTTCACTCGTTTGATTGAAAATCATTTTTTGGGTAATTTGTTTTTTGTAAGATTTCATTTCATTTCATTTCGCATTTTCTTTGTGCATTTCGCATTTCTCAATTATCAGTTATCCGGCTCCGAGTCCTCCTCCATATCCTGGGCACGGCGCGCCTTGCGCAGCGCAAAGCGTCGATTCTGATGCACCAGATCGAAGTAGGGCTGGAAGTCGCCGTAGGAGACGAAGCGCGCGTCACCAAACACCGGCTGGACGTGGCGCGAGACGCCGGGCTCGTCGTCCTCGCCCACAATGATGAACTCCTGCTCGGCTGGGGCTGGGGCTGGGCCGGCATTGGCCATTGCCATCTCGCCGGCAGCGGCGGGCATCGCCTCGGCCATCGGCTGCTCGGGCTGCTCCTTCTGCGCGTTCGACGTCGCCTGGGCCGGGGTTGCCTTCTCGCCGTTGTCCATGGCGGGCGCCTTCTCCACAATCGTGCCGGGGCGTATGCGCGTGGGCAGCAGGCCGCTTCCGGCGCCCACCTGGGCCGGCTTGGCGGTGATCAGCACCGGCTTGGGCTTGGGCTTGGGCCCGCTCGAGGCGGAGCCGGAGCCGGAGCTGGAGCCGGTGCGCGAGGGCGGAATCTGCGGCGGCTGGAAGATGTCCATGAGCGAGGCGTCGGCCAGCAGAGGCACTGCCGCTGCTGTCAATGTCGGGCGCTTGCGCTTCTTCTGCTGCTGCTGCTGTCCAGCGGCCGTGGAGCTGCCGCGCAGGGGCACGCTGCTGATGGCGCTCTCGGGAATGTTGAGGATCAGCGGCTGGGCCTGGAGGCCCTCGGCCAGCGAGACCACCGACTGGCGGTCCGGCGCGGAGAGGCCCAGCTGGCTCCAGGGTATCGTGATGTACTGGGTGGGGCGGCCCTTGCGGCGCAGCGGCACGGTGAGCGGCGGCTGCGGGTAGGAGCTGACGGGCACGCGCTGCTTCTGCACCTTGCTGGCCGTGGCCACGTAGCCGTAGCCGGGATAGCTGGGACTGAGGCCGAGCAGCTCGGGCGCCACATAGACCGTCTGGCCGTTGCGATTGACCAGCAGCGTCGCCTGCTGCGGGCGACGGACGCCGGCCCTGGTGGCTGGGCGGCTCTGGGCGGCCTGCGATTGCCGGAACCGGCTGCCGATCTCGCCGGGCGTCTGTCCGAAGGTGAATCTGCGTATCTGATTGATCAGATTCTGCTGGCTGCTCTGAATGAAGCCGGGCTGGCTCTGGGAGCGGCGCGAGGCCTGACTGTTGTAGATGACCGGCTCGTAGGTCTCCTCGTTGTCGCTGTCCTCGTCATCCTCCAGCTCCACGGCCGCCTCCGCATCGTCCTCCTCCTCGTCGTCGGCCTGCTCCAGCAACGCCAGCGGCTGGCCACGCCTGATCTGTGACGTCTGCTGGCGCTGCTGCTGCAGTTGCTGCTGCGGCTGCTTGCGTCGCACCACCTGCGTCTGGGCGGGTCGGCGGCGTTGCTTGGGCTTTTGCTTTTGCTTTTGCGGCTGCTCCTCAGCGGACTGCTGATCCAGCTGCTCCTCCTCCTCGTCGTCCTCGTCGTCGTTCTGCTCCAGCGACTGGTCCTCGTCGTCGTTCTGCACGCGATCGTTCAGCTCCTGATCGTCATCATCGTAGAACTCGTCGTCGTAGCGATTGCCACCGTAGTAGTCCACATCATCGTACTCCTCCAGCGACTCCAGCGAGTCCAGGTGATTGTTGAAGCGATTCGGCCGCTGGATGCGGTTGCCATTCAGATTGCCGTGGCGATTGCCATTGCGATTCCCGTTACGGTTGCCGTTGCGGTTGCCATTCCGGATGCCGTTGGCGCTGTTGAGTCCGTTGGGATTGCCGCGCCTTCTGTTCGGGCGCTGCTGGAGGCGGACGACAATGTCGGGACGCTGGGTGGTGGTGGTGGTGGTAGTGGTGGCGCTGTCGCGCACGGGCGTGTCCACCAGGGCGGGCAGACCGGGCAGGGCGGGCAGCTGCTGCCCGGCAGCGGCCAGACGATCGTTGAACCAGCCGGACACGGAGCCGGCCAGCGTCGAGAAGGAGGAGCCCAGTCCCTGGCCCGGATTCATGCCGAACAGCCAGGTGGCCGGCGAGCTGGACGTGGTCGAGCTGGACGACGCCTGCTTGCCCTGCGACTGCGCCTGCATCTCCTCGACGGTGGCCTGGCGCGGCTTGAACGCGATCAGGGGATGGATGATGAAGTCGGCGACCGTGTGCGGCTGGGCGGACTTCTCGTCCGATGGTTCCGGCATGGCAGCCGGCATTTCGCTGCTAGCAGCTGCGGCCGATGGCTCCGCCTTCGGCTGGGGCTTAGTCGGGGCCTGGGCCTGGGCTTGGGCTACGGGCGGCTTCTCGGTGGGCTGCTTGGGCACCACGGGCGCATCCTCTGCAGCCGCGCACAACAAAAACAAACACGCGCACGCACACGCACACAGCGAGAGATTGGCACAGAAAAAAAACACATTGTGGGAGCACATGAAAAAAAATAAGTAAAACACATGACATTAGTTTGTCTCTGCCAGCGGCTCGATCTTCAGCTCGTGAGCCGGAAGGGGGAAGTGTGTGTGGGGGGGAGGGGGGAAGTGTCTGAGGCCTACCAATCAGCGCCATATCCGCAATGGGCGACTCCGTGGACTGCTCGATGCTCAGCTGGGTCATTTCCTTGTCGGCGGCCTTGACCTCAGCCCCGGCCACGGCGGCGGCGGCGGCGGCCAGGAGCAGGACGAGGCCGAGGCGCAGGCACAGCGCCAGAAATTTGGCCATGTCGACGGACTGACAGCTGAAATCCAATCGAAAACACTCACTCAATCACGCAAACACTCACACACACGCACACGCACACACACACACTCAAAGCAGGCAAACAGAAGCACAGTAATCGTTGATCGTTGATCGTTAATCGATAATCGATAATCGCCTATCAGTTTCAGTTATCGTTTATTGCTCGTCTTTAATATTGATCGCTCGCCTCCGTACGTTCCGCTTTGGTCCAGAGACAGACGTTTCTTTTGGCCAACTGTGTGAGCGTGCGCGCCGTCTCGAGCTTTTTATGTACCAGCTACAATTTGAGAGAGCGAGAGCGCGTGAGAGTAAGCGGCGCGGCAAGAGAGCGCGCGCTGCCTCTTCAGCTCCACTGCTGGCCGTTGCTTTGCCGTTGGCTTGCCAGCGGGGCGGCAAATTAATTTGGCGCACGTTGAACCACGCTGACCCAGCGATTGACCCAAGCGGCCAACAGTAGCCAGCCGAGCTAGCCCGTTAAGCATGGAACTAGTTCAATGATGATTGGCTTGCCATAATAGGAATTTTTATCATACCATTTTCATATAATTAAAAATGTATAAAAATGGTGGCAAACAAGTTTTCTGCTGCCCTTATCTGAGATCTGCGGCAACAAGATCTGGAATATCTGAAGTTAGCTCGTTCTCTGTTCGCCTCTATACCACAACTCCTTCCAGTTCCACTACAAACTCTATAAATATTCATTTCTTCATCTTTCCATGAGTTGATTTATTAAATTTACGGGGTATTTGCCAGTCCAGCACTCGGCTTAATCTCCCAGTTAGCTCCTCATTGGTTCGGCCTATTGAAACTCTCTAAGCTCATCAGCATACGTTTGATTTGCATATGCTCAGCCGCTCATAAGAGCTAGTTCACAACAAACAGTTCCGGCTGTATAAGCTGAGCTTTTCGACAGCACAAAGAACAAAAAGCTCGCGGCTCAAAGCTTGCCTAATTGAATAACAGTTCGATTCAATGCGATTCAAAATAGAATAAAGCAATTTGCATAGTTCCTAGGGAACTAATTCCGTTTCATGATCGGGCTAGGTGCTGACACCAATTTGTTGTTCCAGTTCATCCGAAATCGGCGTGAAAAACAGATGTCAAACATAATTATAGAACTTTCCAATAACTTTCTAACAGCTTTGACCCCAACTTGACCTCACGCCGAGTCGCAACTTTCATCTAGGGCCACAGGCAAGAATCCACACACACACACACACACACACGTGCCTAATGAGTATTTATGCGTTTTTTATGTATTTCCATTAGCATAAGGCTGGCACTTTTTTCTTTTTTCTCGATTTCAGGTCCAGGTGCCCAAGTCCAAGCCCAAGCCCAAGCCCCAGCCTAGGCCCCAGCCCAGGCCCTGCCGACTGTCCGGGCTGCTAATGAACGGCCAGCGTCTTGGCGCGCCTTTGTTTTAATCTATGGGCTGAGCGCGCGGTTCGCGGCTCTCTTTTGCATAATTTAGTTATTAACAATTGGTTTATGTCCCTCATAATAGGCCAAACACGAAGAATACATATTTTCACCGGAGATAAGCCCAGAGACGAGGCCTGTGAATTATCGAACGACGTGGCTCTTGCGGCGGGAGGCGGAGGGGAGGTAGACATGGAACAAGAGCCACACGAGATGGATGAAATAGATTCGCACATAGACATAAATAAGTCGCTGGGCGTCTAGGGGCGTGGCAACGAAAACAACAGACAGAATGAAAAGAAAAGAAATGAGAAGAAAAGAAAAGAAATGCGAAATAGGCGGAGAAGCAGGAAACCAACTGGGAACGAGCAGATCAGAGCTGCGATCTGTTGAGAATTAATGACTCCAACTAATTTGATCTATGCAATCCGAGTGTGGACCCCAACATCATATCATTCACAATCAATGGGATTTGGCGAAAGCAAAGATCTCAAGCCGTCGAGCCATCTAAGAGCATCAATCGATCTTCGCCAAATTCTGTTGCTGGCCGTTCCATTGTCTTCTCTGAGAATTGATGACGCTCCATAAATCTAAAGCTATAGAATGTCTAAGATCTGCACACAATATATATTCTATATATAGCAGCCACATTTCATTATCGCATTTCTACGAACTTTCCTATCGAACTTTTCCATATACGATCTGTGTGACCTCTTCGAGTCTTCAATTCGCCAGATAGAAAGATTATTTATTTCTTTTGCTTGACATTAATAAATAAGAAATAAATCCAGTGCCTGTCAAAACATTTATAAAGCCCATATGAGTGGGGAGTGAAGGCGTGGGGGTGCTGGACTAGGGGCAACTCTGAACAGAGTTCTACGTGTGGTGATAATTGATATATTGATAAGCAGATGATTTGGCACACAAAAATATATAAGAAATGGGATATTATTATTAATATTATTATTATTATTTTAGTATTTTTATTATACCCCGAACCCATTGAAAATGGGAAATCAGGATATAATCATTTTGTCAAAGGTATGTAACAAGCAGAAGGAGGCGTGGCAGGCTCCACAAAGTATGTAATCAGCACGACGAGCTGAGTCGATTTAGCCCTGTCCGTCTGTCCGTATGTTTGAACGCGTCAATCTCAGAAGATATAGAGAATCAGTAATAAATGTATATCTGCTACATCTTAAAAAATACAATCGCCAAATCTAAAATGTTTATTCATATGCATTTCATAGAATATATATAATATAAAA